CTTAAGTTTGTTACATTTGTTGCGATATTTACTGAAGGGCTTCTGCAATTAATTCGGTGGGCGGGGGTGCTTTGTCAATTACTCCGCAGCCCCCGGTATAAAAGCGGGATGTTCCTCTTCAGATAAGCCATTCAATCCGCAGCATCCAAAGGTGAAGTTAGTTCGAAAAAATCGACAACCTTTCAGTAATGCATCGGGTGTGGTTGACCGTCCTTTTAATCGCTCTTGTGGGTATATGTGCTGCACAGTTAAATTTTTCCCCCAATTGGGGGAAGCGTGCGACTTCTTCGGCTGGGGGCGAGAACGACAACTGCAAGGAATCCGTCGACACGATCATGCTGATATACAAAATAATTCAGGTTTGTGGATTTTTATATTTATTTAGTTTAATTTTTCCTATTTTTATCATTCTTACAGAACGAAGCGCAGAAACTAGTCGAGTGTGAAAAGTTTTCGAATTAAGATGAAGTCGATAGGGAAACTGTTCGTTTTATGCCCATGTCTCAGTTGTACTTTTTCTTTTGCTCTAGAAACATAATGTAAATTATGGTCAATAAAATTATTATTATCTTGATGTAGTAATAAATATAGATGAGCCATCATGAAGTGTGCATTTTATTGCAATACTTGCTCAGGTCTGCTCTCTAAAATTATACATATAGTGTGTGCAAAGTAAATACTGATAAGAATTTCAAAATGCACAGGTGAGTATACATACATTTACAATTTTTTGCTTTATTTGTTTTGCTTGCTTACAAATTTATTGTGCAGATAATCTCTAAAACTACCCAACCGATTACTTTGAAAATTTAGCGCGAACTTATTTTGTCCTAAGGCTATATCAAAAAACGTACTTTATACGTTCTGGTTACTTTGAGGATGACCCCAACAAACGAAACGTATCATCGTCTCTAAAAATAAAAATTAAAAAAACAGATAATTTTGTGCATTTATTGGGCTTCGAGGAGATGGCAGTTGTCTTTCTATAGCTTTGTACAGGTTTCTCATTCCCTAGATTTAATTATCCTTCACGGCCTACTCCTTTTTGTGTACATTTTCATTTTTATATATAACCCACTTGAGATAGATACTTTTTTTTTTGTTTTGTTGGTTATATTTCATTTTTCTAAAAAACTTTGCAACCTCTCTAACACAAAATTCATTACTGAAAATTCGCTTTTGAAGGTACGTAATTCCAAAAATATATTAATTTATGGTGCGCGCCACAGCAAACAAAACTCCGGAAAAATAAGAGTTATTATTGTTTGTCTGTTAGGAGTGGGCAAACATAATATAGCGACTGGATTTTACGAGGTAATTAAACAGCAGTTGTCACCAATCGATGAGAGTAAATAAAACAAAAGGTCTCTGTTCTCGAGACCTGTACAAATTTTGGGACACAATTTGCGCTGAACCTGAGTGTCATACTGGAAATTTAAATTGGTTCAGTTTGCCGCTCACCCATTGCAATTAAACGCCAAACGTCACTTGACACCGATTATAATTCTGGGTTCAACGAGGCGGCAAAACTCCGCATCCACTTTGCTATATTTTTTTAGTGGCGAAGTTGCTTTTATTAATTGTGGAAATGGAGACTATTTTCTTTTACGACAACATAAAAAGAACTAGTGCAATTATTTTTGTTGTATTATTTTATATTTTGACGATGTTGTAAAAAATATGTACTTGTATTTTATATTTTTCGTAATAAAGTAATAACTCTTGTGGTAATCTTTGCGGTATGGATTCATTTGGTCTAAATTTATTTAAATAGAACCTTCTTCGCCCCTGAAGCATAATCAAACAAATGTAAATGTTTAGATAAAAATGTTTCGTCACAATTTTATTATTTGTAAAAAAATATGAGTTCTATTCTGTCTTTATACCGAGTGTCTGGAAAATGACGGATTAACTCTTCAGTACGTAAAAGTAAAATTGGCAACACTGCACGCATCTAATGCTTACTTTCTGATCATTAGTGGTTATTAATCGTTGTACATTATATTAATAAAACAAGCTGTTATTTTTCATTAATAAATAAACAAAAAAAAAACAACTAAAGAAAAATCCATTAAAGCATAACCAATAGAGAAGATGTTCAAAATTCCTGCCTTGTGCATATAAGTAAGCTCGTAATGTTTCCAAATTTTGATCATTTTTTGTAAAAGTTAGTCATCAGTTCATCACTACTTGATAAGATAAGATTGATTTTGGCAAATGACATACCCTTAAGAAAAGAGAGGGTGGGTGGGCGGGGCTAGTTGCTGGCAAGATAAGACTGATTTTGGCAAATGAGATACCCTCTAGGAGAAGGGAGGGCGGGTGGGTGGGGTACCTTCTAAGATAAAACTGATATTCGCAAATGGCATACCCTTTAAGAAAAGAGAGGGCGGGTGGGCGGGGCTAGTACCTGCTAAGATCCGCTAAGAAATTTAATTAAATTATTATAAGCTGGACAGTAGAGGCTTCATAGCACTTTCAAATTCTTTCCAAACAGGAATACCTAGAACCTCAAGATTCTTTTAACTTTTTCAAAAGAAAAAAAAAACTGGGTCTCAAAATTAACTCAAATACAGGTCAGGTTAGAATTTTCCAAAAACAGAACACAAAAGTCCCCAAAATTGTTTTAAAGAATTTACAAAAAAAAATTCCATGGACTTCAATGGGTGCCCAAAAGTATCCCGAATTAAAAAAAAAAACATGATGGCACACAACTTTTTCAAATTAATAAAAAATAAAACACTAAAAGCTCAAACCAGGGGACCTAAAATTGACTGCGAACATTTTAAACATAGGGTTTTGAAATCTTTGGCAATTTTTGATACGTCAAACATTTTTAACTGCTAAATGGAAAATGGAAGTGGTAATTAAGTAAACTGGCAGAAATATTAACTAAAAGTTTTACTGTTACATAGTTATGGTAATAATGAATGTGTTGATTAGTTGTTAAATGTAGCAAAAGAACCAATTTTAAAATCATTTGACGTCCACCAAATTGTGAAAAGGATTTTTGTACTATTTTTCCCAGATTCACCAGTTGATTGTTAAGAGCGTCCCATTTTCCAGACACCCGGTATCTAGATATAAATATATCATTGTTTAAATCAATACAGATAAGAGCTGTTCTTCCCCTAATTACGCCCCCTTTTTAACTTCAGTGTGGAACGAAGCTGGGGAGAAGAACTGGATTGTCATCTGTGTACTAAAAGGGAAAACAAGATTATATTATAACAGAACTTTAATTTTTGCAAAAGAAAATACTGCTAAAAAAGGTTGTTTTCTGTAAATATAGTATCCTTTTTGGCAAAAATTAGTGTTCTATATTTAAAGCTCCCATTAAAATTCACTAAGGGTTGCTTTTTTTTAGCTTATAGTACAACCCATCAGCGCACAGATGGCGCCTCACTGAACCCCCTTCCCCCAGCCTCGCCCCTCATCCAAATTTTTGATAAAAAGGGGGCGTAACCTAGCATTTGGCTGTTAGAGAGAAGAACAACCCTTGTCTGTATTGATTTAATCGAAGATCTTTCAACAATTCGCCACTAGAACGCTATAAGATACAAATGCATAGAGACCCTAAATAGAGTCTGGCCCATGGAGGAAGGAATATTCCTTCCTCCATGGTCTGGCCAAAGCCGCCATTTTATATCACAATCAAGCGCGCCTTTTTTAAAGTTTGGCGTCAGGTGTGTAATAACCAAAAAAGTAGCAGAAAATTCGGTAACAAAACATTAAATAAATTGTAGGAAAAAATTATTGAATGACCAAAAATTTATTTCATCATCAAAAACAAGGGTGGTCATCAACGAACGAAATATATAAATACAATAATATAGAGTGTTATTCAAAGGTACGTACAAAATAAAATCGGCAATTGTCTCGAAGTATGGGTGCTAAAAGTAAAAAAAAGTTCAGGTAAAAGTGTTCTCCTTTTAGAGATAAAAATGATTAAAATTTATGTCCAAATTCGTTCTACGCCTCTGATAAAAAGATCATCTTTCGTTTCTATAGCAACATTTAGTCTTGACAAAAGTTTTATTGTTACAGTTGCTAGGATTTACTAAAATAAATTAATCTTACCTATTTTTCCTTCAGTAGCGTCTAAAAATGTTGGATAAGGGTTAATTTTCCCCCTATAATTTTGATAACACAAAATAAGTTTTTCAGACTTCTTAGACTTCGCGAAGAACTGTCAATTTCGTTGTACGTACCTTTCAATAACACCCTGTATAAACTACTAGATGGCTTAAAAATTCGTACATCTTATGAAGCAATATAAAAAAATCTTCTTAAGGGGAAATAAGACAAAAAAGTCAATCAATATAAATTTATTCTATTTTACACCATGATGCATTGCCATGCTTTTGCTGTAACGGTGTAATTTACAATTTGTTCTGTTTTTGCAAGAAATTGTTAGCCTAAATAAAATAAATCTATTTATAATTTTATGTCTTAAATGATGGCATCTTAAAATATGGTCCAACCAGTCATGATTTTTGTATTTCTTGTAATTACACAACTCGTAAACACTTTACAACAATATTTGTAATAATTTGGCAGTTGATTCGCATACAATATAAAATCACAACAACACGATAAATGTCACCCTCGTCACAGCTGACAGTTTTAATCGTATCTGCAACCAGACATACCGTTTTCAAACACAATGTGACCAGACTCTCTTATTTAGGGTCTCTACAATTCTAATTTTTAAATTTTCAAATGCGGTGTCGTGGTGCCGCTCTTTTAGTCGGCGGGAATTTTAAAATTTCAAACTCAGAACACCACAAAGTTCCAATCGTGGTGGTAATTTCACCAGTTTTGCTCTTTTGAAGGTCCAGTAAACTCTGCAAAAACGACAACATGAAAGTCACTTAAATTTAACAGACAGCAATTGGTCAAACGTAGAGTTTGTTTCTGTGTGATGCAGAAACGTGAATCTTGTGACCCGTCTAGAGATAAAGGATCTGTGAATAAACAAATGACAGCCAAAATCCCTAATTAATGTCGAATTCGAATGACAGTTGAAAGGGTTATGTTTATTGTGAGAATTCCGTGAAATAAATCTTCTTTGCGCTAAACGGGGCGTAATTTGTCGTTTAGTCCACTATTTGGAAATGGAAGTTGGGCAACATAAGGAAAATCTAACCAAATTGTCGCTGGAAGAACTGGAAGAATTGTACATAAGGCAGACAAATATACTTAAAAACAAGTACAAGGTGATTTTTACAATAAACAATTCACATATATAAATTATGTGTTGCAGGGGACTTGTGAAGCAGTTACCTGATCAGGGTAAGCAGTTGCAAGACAAACTTAATAAAGTTGAAAAAGAGCTAAAGTTGCGTCGAGATTTGAAGGACCTTGAAGGGAATCTGAAAACGTTGTCTATAAGTAGTGAGAAGTCTGAAGTTTTAAAGGAAAAACATATTCAGTATGTGTGTAATATAGAAAAATCGCCTGAGAAAGAACGCTATAAACCGTTTTCCACTCTTGTACATAAGGATGAGAAAAAGGGTGATAAACCCACACAGTTGATACCTTTAGTTGAGTCAATAACGCTGTTAGCAGAACAAGCCACAAAGTTACCTGTGAGTAAATAACTCAATTTTTGCTTTGATTAAAACGTAATTTTCAGATTGGACTAAGCAAAAAAGTCATTGAAGGGACACCACTGAAAGAAGAACCTGAAGCATGTAGTGATAGTGAGGAAAATCAGGAACTGAGTGAGTCTGAATGTGAAGAACTGGAAAAAACCTGAGTGTGATTGAAATTTTCAACAAAACTTTATTTAAATAAATTAACAATTTTTAACATTTTAAGAATATAAGAATTATAAACATTACCTACAGTAGCACGTAGTAATAATGAAAATGGCCTCCGGCCAAACTGAACAAATTTAGTAATATGTCGTTGCTTAAACTTGACTAGAAAATTTTCTATTGCGACGTAAACACAGAGTAATAGACATCAAGAATCAGTCAGTTGACACAATGACACAGTACTAAATTACCAAAAAGAAGACAAATTGACTAAAATGAAAAACTTAGTCGACAAGCCGTGCCCTTACAGGGTGGCCGCTGAGTACTAAATTAAATACGCTCGGGAAGTAAAATCGATCTGCCATGTCTACAATTCACCTGAAGCAGAGTATTCAATTTTATCTGCAATGTTGGACTAAACCAAGTGCAAAAATTGAAAAATAGCAAAATTTCGTTAACAAAATAAACAAAACATTAACTAAACTATCTATCACTGGCGTTTCTTCCATTAGCATTTGGATCAATGCTCGTCCTATTGGCTTCCGCCCGTCTTCTAGCATTCTGAGCATCAGACCTAGCCCTTCCTCTTAAAACCACGTTCCCTTGTCTAAGCGGCCTCGCAGCCATATCCTCGGCCGCCGCCTCAGTCTTGCTCGCCTCGTCATCGCCCTTGAAATCCTCGTCCTTGTCCGGAGATCCGCTATCCCTCCTGCTGCCTCTTCTATGCACCGCCGACGACAAAACCAGCTCCTGCACGAATTGACTTCTATCTTGCCTGCTCAAATCGCTCGTCGACTGCAACGACAGCTCCTCCAGGAGCCCGATCAGCAGGAACTGCGACTGAGGCGAGGGCATCGCGGGCGCGTTGGCTTGCGGCTGCTGGATCAGCACCGGGCTGGGGTTGAGCATCAGCGTGGAAGTTCCGGAATTGGACGAACCGTGCGATTCGCGCAGAGACGTCTGGCTTTGCGTCTGGCGTCTGGGAAAGCGCTCGAGTTGCTGTCGGGCGGCGTTGACTTGCTGACGCTCGAGCTGCAGCTGCATTTGGAGCTGTTGCAGTTGCGTCGGGGTGCTGCTGTTGGTGTTACTGGCGGAACGACGGACGCCTGAGAGTTGGGACAACAACTCGGCGATCGGGTCCACGGTTTCCCTTGATGAGGGGGAGAGCGAAGATAAACCGCCAGAACTGAATACACTGTATATAAAAAACTGTATCAAAGCAACGACGAAGTAGAGTACTGTCCGGTCAAACGGACGCTAACTACAATACATTTCTAGAAAGGAAAAATGTTAAAATCATGGATGTGTGAAGTTAAAAATAAGACGGTCAACACGTGGATAATAAAGATGTACGTCGTTGATTCACCACATTTCGCAATCGTTTAGAAGATTGGACGGAGTTGGTTGCTACAATGTTCACCTAAAGGTCGATTGTGTACATACGTTTCTCTAAACCGATATTTAATTTGACCCAAGTAACCTAATCTGACGACTTTTAAGTTGTTAAGAGCTGTTAATGATCCTGTTATGTAACAAATGACTTAAGTAATTACTACAAAAGAACGGAAAGTTAATAAAATTTTAAAAAAGTGGGACATTGTAATTGACGAAAGTTATTATTGCACGCAAAAGCAGCGACGGTATTAGACCGCTCCGCCTCCTCGCTACAGGCTTCCGTAATCCTGAAACACTTAGTTGACAAGGATTAAAATTGCCTGGTTGGATTACAGAAAATTTCGAATTTGAAACAAGAACTTTTTCTTTAAACCCAACAACATAGTGTTTGTTTAACAATAATGAATACGGTGGATTTTAGATGGGAAGTCGTATTTTTATATTAACTGATCAACCTAATCCAGGAGCAATCAAAAAAGACAATGATTTCAGTCATACATTTCTATTAATGCTCAACGATATAAATATACTTATTTACTGCAATAAAGAGAACACTGTTTTTTCAAAGAAATTAAATTACAATAGATGTTACCGTTGAGAGTTGGCACAAGACAGGTAAAACAGGTTTAAAATGGTAATTTTTTGTAGGAAAGTATCGATTTTGCAATTAAGCTCCGCCCTTTGGTCTGACAACGAATGAAAAATTCATCACAATTGAGCTTGAGATGGATATGGGTGGGGCTTAATATTTGACTTGTTTTTTTTTCTTATTCTCTAGTATTCTTTGAACAACGGATGAGTGGATTTTTTTTAATGAATACAATTACTTTTCTTTGTATTAACACGATTACTTAAGAACATATTTCACATGATAATTTCTCGTAGCAAAACAAGGATTTTAAAATTAAGCACCAACCCTCGGCTTACGCCGAATAAAAGAAATCATCAGAATTGAGATAGGGCGGGTGGGTGGGGCTTATATTTTGCCTTTTTTTTTCTTAATATACATAACCATCATTTCACAACAAGAAACATTGTCAAAATGGTACGTTTTTGGCAAGGAAATATGGATTTTGCAATTATGAGTCGGAGCCTAATCGCAAAATCGATATTTCCTTATAGAATTTTTCCAGTTTAAACATGTTTCAAGTTCCATGTTCCATGAAAAGAAGTCTACACATAGTAAAACAGAAAGCCAAAATATAAGCCCACCCACCCGCCCTATCTCAATTGTGATGATTTTTTTTATTCGCCGTGAATCAAGAGGGCGGAGCTTAACTGCAAAATACTTATTTCGTTACAAGAAATTAAAAACATGCTTTTGAGTACCGTGTTGTTCAAACAATACTATGTTTATTAAGAAAAAAGGGCAAAATATAAAACCCCGCCCACCCACCCCATCTCAATTTTTATGCATAGAAACTTAAAACATGTTTAAAATGGTAAATTTTTGTAAGGAAATATGGATTTTGCAATTAGGCTCCGCCCCTAGGTCTTCCAACGAATGAAAATTTCATTACTATTTAGATCAGGGCTGGTATGGGTGGGACTTAATCTTTGGCTTTAATTTTTTCATAATATATGTACATAGTATTCTTTGAATAACACGATATTCAAATAGTATATTAAAGAACGAGTTTCATAAGGCAAATATTGAGGCACGAATCCAAGTTTATAGAACGAGCGGCGAAGCCGCGAGTTATATAAAGGATGAGTGCCTCAAAGGCCTTATGAACGAGTTATTTATACTATTTTTTCTACCGCACACGTTTTTTCCCAAAATTTAATTGAAATTTGTATTTTTTTTAATGTGGGGACTTTTGTCGTGGTTGGTGATGGGTTGGTTTGACACTAACCACGAAATATTTGAGGTTCGAATTTTCACAACAACTGTAATTCGAATCAATTCGAGTTTTTGTAATTTAAAATTGATTAAAATGTCTTGTGAAGAAGTTACGCGTCCGGAAATATGGGAAATTTTAAGTTTACATTTGCCACTGACATTCACCTGACATTTCTCGTCATGGCTACCAATCTTACCGATCTAAATTACACCAGATCTATTAAAGAACGCCTTTCCGCTATTAACGAACTGCTGTGACGTCATTTGCGTGCGTTAATAGCTCTATTAGAAAACCAAAAAAGGTGGGCTGCAGAAAAAACATGTTTTACGTGGTAATTTCTTGTAGAAAAATTATAAGGATTTTGCAATTAATTTCCGTTCCTTTGGATATCGACGACTAAAAAAGAATCATCACAATTGAGTTCGGGTGGGTGGGCGGGGCTTATATTTTGACTTTTTTCTTAATATATGTAGTCGTCTTTTCAGAACAAGAAACTTAGAACATGATCAAAATTATATATTTTTGCACGAAAATATGGATTTTGCACTTATGAGACTAATTGCAAAATCGAGATTTCCTTATACAAATTTGCCATTTTAAATATGTTTTAAGGTTCGTGTTGTGAAAAGAAGTGTACACATATTTAAATCAAAAAGGTAAAGAATAAGCCCGCCCACCCATCCTATCTCAATTGTGATGATTTTTTTTATTCGGCGTGAACCAAAGAGGCGGAGCTTAACTGCAAAATACTTATTTCTTTACAAAAAATTAAAAACATGTTATTGAGTATCGTGTTGTTCAAAGAATACTATGCATATTATGAAAAATATATCTCTATTGTTTTATTTTTTATTTTCTATTAGAAGGTAAATGGTGGGATACATATTTTGTTTTTTTTTTTCTATTGTACTATTCCTAGAATTGATAGTTTATTTATTTAATGTAATGTAATTTACTTTACTTTACTTTTCTTTTTATTTGGTATGCCAGACGTGCTTTTTATTTTTATTTTTTGGTATATAGGTATTACTATTTTTGTGTTCTTTTTTTTTGATTTTGTATTATTGGAAATTATCCAGTAAGTGGAATATTTGTTCTGTTGGACAATAAATTATATTATTATTATTATTAAAAAAGAAGGCAAAATATAAACCCCACCCACCCCATCTCAATTCTGATGACTTTTTTTTTATTCTTAGAAACTTGAAACACGTTTAAAATGGTAAATTTTTCTAAGGAAATATGGATTTTACAATTTGGCTCCAACACAACGAATGAAAAATTCATTACTTTTTAGATCACGGCAGGTATGGGTGGGGCTTAATCTTTGCCTTTAATTTTTTCTTAATATATCTACACAGTGTTCTTTCAATAACACGATACTCAAAAACATGTCTTAAGGTACATGGTCATTTCTTGTAGAAAAATAATTAAGATCTTGGAATTAATTTCCGCCCGTTTGGCTCTCGAAGATTAAAAAAAAATCATCACAATAGAGATCGGGTGGGTGGGCGGGGCGTATATTTTGTCTTTTCTTCTTAATATACGTAGTCGTCTTTTCAGAGCAAGAAACATAAAACATGTTTAAAATGGTAAATTCTTGTAGACAAATATGGACCTGGCAATTAAACCCCGCCCCTCGATCTGACGACGAATGAAAAATTCATCACAATTGAGATCTAGACGGATGGGTGGGGCTTCACTTTTGGTTTTCTTTTTTAATTAATACATTTAGTTTTCTTTGTATAACACGATTAATTAAGAACGTATTTCACATGGTAATTCCTCGTAGAAAAATAAGGATTTTATAATTAAGCTCCGTCCCTCGGCTTACGACGAATAAGAAAAATCATCAGAATTGAGATAGGGCGGGTGGGCGGGGCTTATGTTTTGCCTCTTTTTTCTTAATATACATTGCCATCTTTTCACAACAAGAAACTTAAAACATTTCCTTATACAAATTTTCGATGTTTAAAGCATGTTCTAAGTTTCATCTTGTGAAAAGACGTCTACACATATTAAAATAGAAAGGCAAAATGTAAGCCCGCCCACCCGCCCTATCGCAATTGTGATGTTTTTTTTTATTCGTCGTGAATCAATGGGGGCGGAGCTTAACTGCAAAATACTTATTTCTTTACAAAAAATTAAAAACATGTTATTGATTATCGTGTTGTTCAAAGAATACGATGTATATTAAGAAAAGAAGGCAAAATATAAACCCCACCCACCCACCCCATCTCAATTCTGATGATTTTTTTTATTCTTAGGAACTTGAACCACGTTTAAAGTTGTAAATTTTTGTAAGGGAATATGGATTTTACAATTAGGCTCCGCCTCTAGGTCTCACAACGAATGAAAAATTCATCACAATTGAGCTTGGGATGGATATAGGTGGGGCTTAATTTTGGCCTGTTTTTTCTTAATACACATTGTATTTTTTTAACAACACGATATTCAAAAACATGTTTTTTATTTCGTGTAGAGAAATAAGGATTTTGCAATTAAGCTCCGCCTCCTTGGCTTACCACGAATAAAAAAGTCATCACAATTGAGACAGGGCGGGTGGGCGGGGTTTCTTTTTTGGTTTTCTTTTTTAATTAACACATTTAGTTTTCTTTGTTTAACACGACTACTTAAGAACATATTTCACGTGGTAATTTCTCGTAGCAAAATAACGATTTTACAATTAAGCTCCGCCCCTCGGCTTACGACGAATAAAAAAAAACATCGACTTTTTTATGCTTAGAAACTTAAAACACGTTTAAAGTGGTGATTTTTGTTTAAGGCAATATGGATTTTGCAATTAGGCTCCGCCCCTAGGTCTGCCAACGAATGAAAACTTCATTACTATTTAGATCACAGCAGGTATGGGTGGGGCCTAATCTTTGCTTTAATTTTTTCTTAATATATGTACATAGTATTCTTTCAATAACACGATACTCAAAAACATGTCTTACATGGTAATTTCTTGTAGAAAAATAATAAAGATCTTGGAATTAATTTCCTCGAAGATTAAAAAAAAATCATCACAATTGAGTTTGGGTGGGTGGGCGGGGCGTATATTTTGCCTTTTTTCTTAATATACGTAGTCGTCTTTTCAGAACAAGAAACATAAAACATGTTTAAAATGGTAAATGCTTGTAGACAAATATGGACCTTAAACCCCGCCCCTCGATCTGACGACGAATGAAAAATTCATCACGATTGAGATCGAGACGGATGGGTGGGGCTTGTCGTTTGGTTTTCTTTTTTAATTAATACATTTCGTTTTCTTTGTATAACACGATTAATTAAGAACATAATTCACATGGTAATTCCTCGTAGAAAAATACGGATTTTATAATTAAGCTCCGTCCCTCGGCTTATGACGAATAAAAAAAAATCATCAGAATTGAGATAGGGCGGGTGGGCGGGGCTTATGTTTTGCCTCTTTTTTCTTAATATGCATTGCCATCTTTTCACAACAAGGAACTTAAAACATTTGCTTATACAAATTTTCGATGCTTAAAGCATGTTCTAAGTTTCATCTTGTGAAAAGAAGTCTACACATATTAGAACATAAAGGCAAAATTAAAAACATGTTATTGAGTATCGCGTTGTTCAAAGAATACTATGCATATTAAGAAAAGAAGGCAAAATATAAACCCCACCCACCCACCCCATCTCAATTCTGATGATTTCTTTTATTCTTAGAAACTTGAAACACGTTTAAAATGGTAAATTTTTGTAAGGAAATATGGATTTTACAATTAGGCTCCGCCTCTAGGTCTGACAACGAATGAAAAATTCATCACAATTGAGCTTGGGATGGATATGGGTGGGGCCTAATTTTTGGACTGTTTTTTTTTAATATACATAATATTTTTTTAACAACACGATGCTCAAAAACATGTTTTTTATTTCTTGTAGATTTTGCAATTAAGCTCCGCCCCCTTGGCTTACCACGAATAAAAAAGTCATCACAATTGAGACAGGGCGGGTGGGCGGGGTTTCTTTTTTGGTTTTCTTTTTTAATTAATACATTGAGGGCCGGTTTATAGAAGCGCGAGTTAAATATTTAATCCTCGATTAATTTAACACTGGATTAAAATGTGGAATGGGAGCTCGTGATTGGTTAAAACCTGCACGTCGCCTAGCAACGAACCTCAATTAAAAGTTAATCGCGAATTAACTTTAACTTCGGTTTCTATAAACCAGGTCTTAGTTTTCTTTGTTTAACACGACTACTTAAGAACATATTTCACATGGTAATTTCTCGTGGCAAAATAAGGATTTTACAATTAAGCTCCGCCCCTCGGCTTACGACGAATAAAAAAAAAACATCAGAATTGAGATAGGGCGGGTGGGTGGGGCTTATATTTTGCCTTTTTTTTCTTAATATACATTGTCATCTTTTCACAACAAGAAACTTAGAACATGATCAAAATTATATATTTTTGCACGAAAATATAGATTTTGCACTTATGGGGCGGAGACTAATTGCAAAATCGATATCTCCTTATACAAATTTGCCATTTTAAATATGTTTTAAGTTTCGTGTTGTGAAAAGAAGTGTACACATATTTAAATCAAAAAAGTAAAGAGTAAGCCCGCCCACCCACCCTATCTCAATTGTGATGATTTTTTTTATTCGCCGTGAACCAAGGGGACAGAACTTAACTACAAAATACTTATTTATTTACAAGAAACTAAAAACATGTTCTTGGGTAAAGTGTTGTTCAAAGAAAACAATGTATTTTAAGAAAAGAAGGCAAAATATAAACCCCGCCCACCCACCCCATCTTAATTGTGATGATTTTTTTAATGCATAGAAACTCGAAACACGTTTAAAATATGTAGTAAATTTTTGTAACACGATACTCAAAATATGTTTTTAATTTCTTGTAACGAAATAAGTATTTTGCAGTTAGGGTTGGCTCACAACGAATAAAAAAAATCGTTACAATAGAGATAGGGTGGGTGGGCGGGGCTACATTTTGCCTTTTCTTCTTGGTATGTGTAGACTTATTTCGCCAACAAGAAAAATTTAAAACATGTCTAAAATGGTAATGTTTGTAGCAATCAACTTAAATCTGCCACTTTTCTTCTACAACCCCTTTTAATAAGGTAAAAGTTGAACATTAAAGTTACTATCAACGGCAACTTGGTAACGGAGTTTATAAATAACAATTTTCAACTCTAAAAGCAAAGTCAGTGGAAACTTCAACGTCAACAACAAGTTTAGTTAACTTCGATGTTTATACGTTGAAGGAGTTCGACGATTAAGCGCGTATAAAAGTACTAGTTTCTTAAAATTCATATTCAAAAATACTGAAATACTTTAATTTTTAAGCGCAATTTAAAATTATCATCAAACAATCCTCTCCAACATATTGATGACGTCATGAGCACTATTCTACATTAGATTTCACGTATTCATGACGTCATCCAAAAGTATCAGTACTTCATAAATCTTAACTGCTTGTGTTGCAATAAATAATAATGATCTATTTTCTCATTCATTAAGCATATTAAAACTAATATATCTGCCCCTGCCAAAAAATTTAAAAAATTTAATATGAAAGTAGTAGCTAAACATTAAAAACAATTTCCACAAATAAAAGTGCAACAGCTCTTAACAACCTTATTCAATTACACCAACTAATGACAAATCAAATGACTATCTAATGAGTCATAAATGCATAATGCAAAATTTATCAGCAACCAAAGAAGTACATATTTAATACAATCTGCCAACATTTTCATTCATTTTAACACTTTTAATCTAGTTCACACAGTATTTTTTTTTGTGGGAAGATAAATACCTAAAATGCATGTTGGATCGTCGCGGCCTCAGTGCCGCCGCCCCTCTGCCCATATGGGTAGCGTTGTGAGGAATGCGCCTCACATTATGACGGGTCCCCACAGGTTCATCTAAAAACGAAATTAAATCTCTAGGACCAGTCCTATGTTCTAAAGTAAGATGTCCGGCAAAATCATCAGTCATTAAGTTAGGATCTCCACCAGGCATGGCGGCACACAATGGACAAACCTGGAAATAGTAAAATAACGTGATATAAAAATAATCGGCGGTTACATACGACTTCAAATGAAGTATCAACGTGATCTGTAGATACATGTTCTTGCAAAGTTACATCTGTAAAACCCATACGCGAACAATAGGGGCAAGTGTAGGACTGGGGTAGTTCGAGACTTGTTAGTGCCTCTCCACCGTAAAAGAAATCTAGAAAACCTCACGTATTAATGGGAACGTTAAAAAAGTACGACATTACCAAAATCAGCTCTAGTAATGATGCACTGCATGGGATGGTCTGTCGTATGTCTCGTATTAGTAGCTCCTCCTTCGTAACATGCTGCACACAAGTCATAATCGTAGCAAATCAAGCACTTGTACCGTCGCCCCCTAAAGTTTCCAATCAAACAAGAATCACAGCTCACACCTACAATAAAATCGGGATTGATTGCATTGATGTGCTATCAAAAAAATTATGTACCTTCATGACGACTCATGGCAGAATCGAGTTCTTCGTTTCCCTCAATCTTCTCGGTATTTTACATGTACTGGTGAAGAATAAGTTAATTATTCTACTGAAATGTGAGAATAACAATCACACCGGATTAGTTGGAAAAAACAAGCTGGTAATTGACAGACTCACTGTTTTACCGACCCGGCGAACCGGCCATTACAATCAGGACAAGAATCAGGAGCTCTCCCAAAAAAGCACAAAAAAGTTAAAAAGACGCGGGAAATTTAAACTCGTTTGTCAAAAATGAACGAATTGTCAACTCTAGCATTTAACAATGGTTAAGATGGGTTTATCCTACAATATAGTAAATTTATATCGTTTAATGTAATGTGTAGTAGACATATTTACGTCACAACACTTAAGCCACGCCTCTGTTTGTTTTTACACCAATCATGTCACTACTAAGTAGTCGATTAAGTTGGTTTATAATGATAATTTAAATTTAACTGAGTCATTTATGATAAGAATGATTTAAGTGTGATTTATAAACTTGCTGTTCTCGTTGATGGTAACTTTGATTTTCAACTTTGCCGTTTTTAACGGGGTTGTAGAAAAAAGTGGAGGATTTAAGTTGATTACTACAAAAGTTTACCATGTTTTAAGTTTCTTATTGTCGATATAAGTCTACACATATTAAGAAAAAAAAAGTCAAAATGTGACCCCGCCCACCCGCCCTGTCTCATTTGTGATGATTTTTGTTATTCGTCGTGAGCCAAGGGGGTGGAGCTAACTGCAAAATCCTTATTTCTCTACGAGAAATTGAAAACATGTTTTTGAGTATCGTGTTGTTTAAAGTTTAAAGAATACTATGTATATTAAGAAAAAAATAAAGCCAAAGATGAGGCCCCATCCATACCCGCCCCGATCTCAATTCTTAATTGTGATATTTTTTTCCATTCGTTCTCAGATCGAGGGGCGGGGTTTAATTGCAAGATCCATATTTGTCTCGAAGAATTTACCATTTTAAATATGTTTTAAGTTTCTTGTTCTGAAAAGACGACTACGGATATTAAGAAAAAAAGACAAAATATATGATTGAGATAGGGCGGGTGGGTGGGCTTATATTTTGGCTTTCTGTTTTACTATGTGTAGACTTCTTTTCACAACATGGAACTTGAAACATGTTTAAACTGGAAAAATTCTATAAGGAAATATCGATTTTGCGATTAGGCTCCGACCCATAATTGCAAAATCCATATTTCCTTGCTAAAAACGTACCATTTTAACAATGTTCTAAGTTTCTTGTTGTGAAAAGATGGTTATGTATATTAAGAAAAAAAAAAGGCAAAATATAAGCCCCGCCCACCCACCCTATCACAATTTTTTTTTGTTTTTTTTATTAGTCGTAAGCCGAGGGGCGGTATTTCATTGTAAAATCCCTTTTCTACTCGAAATTACCGTGAAATATGTTCTTTAGTAATCGTGTTATACAAAGAAAACTAAATGTATTAATTAAACAAGAAAACCAAAAGAGAAGTCCCACCCATCCGTCTCGATCGCAATCGTGATGAATTTTTCATTCGTTGTCAGATCGAGGGGCGGGGTTTAATTGCCAGATCCATATTTGTCTGCAAGCATTTACCATTTTAAAAATGTTTTAAGTTTCTTGTTCTGAAAAGACGACTACGTATATTAAGAAAAAATGCAAAATATACGCCCCGCCCACCCACCCAATTTTAATTGTGATCATTTTTTTTTAATCGTCGACAGCTAAAAGGTGGAAATTAATTCCAAAATCCTTATTATTTTTTTACAAGAAATTACCATGTGAGACATGTATTTGAATATCGTGTTATTGAAAAAATACTATGTACATATATTAAGAAAAAATTAAAGGCAAAGATGTAAATAGTAATGAAGTTTTCATTCGTTGGCAGACCTAGGGGCGGAGCCTAATTGCAAAATCCATATTTCCTTACAAAAATTTACCATTTTAAACATGTTTTAAGTTTCTATGCATAAAAAAATCGTCACAATTGAGATAGGGTGGGTGGGCGGGGTTTTATATTTTGCCTTTTTTTCTTAATATACATAGTATTCTTTGAACAACACGATCCTCAAAAACATGTTTTTAATTTCTTGTAAAGAAATAAGTATTTTGCAGTTATTGATATGCAGTTGATTCACGGCGGATAAAAAAAAAGTCATCACAATTGAGATAGGGCGGGTGGGTGGGGCTTATATTTTGGCTTTCTGTTTTACTATGTGTGACTTCTTTTCACAACATGAAACTTGAAACATGTTTAAAATGGAAAATTTCTATAAAGAACTATCGATTTTGCAATTAGGCTTCGACCCATAATTGCAAAAACCATATTTCCTTACAAAAACGTACCCTTTTAACCATGTTCTAAGTTTCTTGTTGTGAAAATATGGTTATGTATATTAAGAAAAAAAAAAGGCAAAAAATAAGCCCCGCCCACCCGCCCCATGTCAATTCTGATGATTTTTTTATTCGTCGTTGGCCAAGGGGCGGTATTTAATTGTAAAATCCTTTTTCTACCCGAAATTACCGTGAAATATGTTCTTAAGTAATCGTGTTATACAAAGAAAACTAAATGTATTAATTAAAAAAGAAAACCAAAAGACAAGCCCCACCCATTCGTCTCGATCTCAATCGTGATGAATTTTTCATTCGTTGTCAGATCGAAGGGTGGAGCGTAATTGCAAAATGGATATTTCCCTAAACAAATTTACCATTTTAGACATATTTTAAGTTTCGTGTTGTCTAAACGGTATCGGTACATCTCTACGTGTACGCACGCATATTTTTGTCGCTGACATTTTTATCGATATCATTGAAATTATTATTGATTTTTACTGGTATTGTTGTGATTTAAGTAATAAATATGTCTATGTGTACGGTTTGTGGAAAGAAAACAAGAAACACGGATTGTGTGGCATGTGACATCTGCAGAAAATTGGTCCATACTGGATGTTCTGGATTAGCAGCGATTGAAATTGAATGTGTACGTTCTAATTCTCGAAAAATCCATTATTTCTGTGATAATTGTGATGTAGTAACAACAATTAATAAATTGAAAACCGAGTTGGATTCACTAAAAACTCAGCTAGAGGAAGTGAAAAATAACCAAGGTAAGGTGCCATTACCTGATAAAGACATTTTATCGACTGAAGAAGTAATCAATGAGGTTGAGGAAAGAAATCGTCGATCATACAATTTAATTCTTTTTAATTTACCAGAATCAGAGGAAAACACTCAAATTAAACGAGATGAAGATGACATGAGTCGTGTTAAGAAAACAATCTTTTCCAATTGTAATGAGAATGAAAATAATATAAAAATTATGTCTTGTGGTCGATTAGGTATGTTTAGGAATGATAAAATACGCCCAATGAGAATCTCGTTTGCAACTCCTCAGCATGCATATGAAGTCCTAAGAACTTATAATCGTAAAAATCAGTTGTACCTTAATAGAGATTTAACGAAGCGTCAGCAGAATCAATGCTTTTTAATAAGAACTGAATTTAGAAATCGCAAAAAAGATGGTGAAACTGGCATAGTTTTAAAATATTCAAACGGAGTGCCGAAAATTCAAAAGATTGAGATAAAAAACGCTTAGGATCCCAACAGACTTCTACGACACCTCTGCAAAAATCAAGTTATATATTCAATATATTTTATCAAAATGTTAGGGGTCTAAATACTAAAATAAGTAACTTCTATACTAATGTATGTACCATTGATGAAGAAATTGTAGTCTTAACAGAGACATGGTTAACCAGTGGCGTGTTGTCTAGTGAACTATTTCCAAGTTATTTTAATGTAGTTCGAGATGACAGATTATGTGGAAGAGGTGGCGGGGTTTTGATTGCAGTAAACGACAAATTTGCTATTAAGAAACTAGATGTTATATCACCTATTCCACAAATTGAAATAGTGGCAGCCAAAATTTCAATCAAAAAATCAAATATAACGGTGGTCGCAATTTATATTCCGCCATCACAGCAAACTGGGAACTACATACAAATTTTTGAACACCTTGAGAATCACTTGGATTTCTCGAACCCGTTAATTATTTTGGGCGATTTCAATATCTCTGAATACGCTGAATGTGTGAGAGAAATGAAGACATCTAATTTATTCAACCTTTATAGTAACTTTATTTCTTTAAATAGTATTAGGCAACACAACAGAATTACTAATACATATACAAGGATATTAGACCTTTTTTTGTCAACTGATCATTTCAATGTTGTTTGCCAGCAAAGTCAGTTTCCTTTAGTACCAGAGGATCCACATCATCCTGCATTAAATTCGTCTGTTTCACTAAGTCTTCAAGAAAATATTTCTGTTAAACAAAAATCAGAAGTCATCAAATTTAACTTCTATAAAGCCAACTTGCAAGATCTATATGCGGCTGTATCGTCAGTTGAATGGTCATTTATTGAAAGCATCGAGGATGTGGATGTTGCGTGTGATTATCTTTATAAAATAATCTTTGATTTATTCGATCAACATGTACCCAAATGTAGTGTTAATACTAAACGTGCTAAATACCCTGCGTGGTTCACTAAATCTATCATTGATAAAATAAATGAAAAGAAGAAACACTGGAATTTGTATAGGAAAAACAAAGGGTTGTATCATATTAATAAAGTAAAAAATCTTAGACGTGCCATCTGTAGTGAAAGTCGTAATGAATATTTGCGATTTGTAAACAACAGTGAAAACTCCATCAAATATGATCCAAAAAAGTTTTGGTCGTTTGTGAAAACTAAAACAAAATCTCACGTGACTTTAAACGAAATGACATATGGTGACGATGTTGTGTCCTCTCCACAAGAGATTGTCAACGCTTTCGCTTACAATTTTTCCACCGTTTTCTGTGATAACAACGTTCCTGGATGTGATAATAATAGTGATATGAATACTAACATTTGTGATATTTGTGGTGATAACAACTGTGTCTCTATCTCGCTTCAAAAAGTTTGTAATATTACCTCTGTTTTGCATTTATTTTCTATTAATGATGATGATATTCTGAAAGCAGCAAAAAAACTTAAACCTAATTTAGTATCTGGCCCTGATGGTATACCTGCGTTTTTTGTAGTTGATTGCATTAGATGTTTATTAATACCCCTTAAATATATTTTTAATTTAGTGTTAAAATCATCCACATATCCATACAAGTGGAAATTGTCAAAAGTGTGTCCAATTTTTAAGTCAGGCGATAAATCAAGTGTTAAAAATTATAGACCCATAGCGCTTTTGTCAAACTTTTCCAAATTATTTGAAACTATATTTTCTAATGTAATATATTCACATGTTATAAATTACATTGTCCCACAACAACATGGTTTTGTCAAAGGGAAGTCAACCACCACTAATTTATATGAATTCACGCAATTTGTGTCATCAGCTTTAGATAATAACTTCCAAGTAGATGTGATATATACTGATTTGACAAAAGCGTTTGATAGGGTGAATCATTGCGTGCTTTTAAAAAAACTTGAAATGTTTGGATTTTGTAATGATTTGTTGTTATTATTGAGGTCAATGATTATTGGGAGAAAACAATATGTTGAGTATGGTGGATGTAAGTCTTTTGAAATAGAAGTAAATAGTGGAGTGGCACAAGGCTCCAATTTAGGTCCTCTGCTTTTTACCATATTTTTTAATGATGTCGTAACGAATCTTCAAACAAAAAGTTTTATTTATGCAGATGATCTAAAGATAGTAAATATAATAAAGTCTGTTCATGATTGTCTGAAGTTGCAATCAAGTTTAGATAGTTTCATTACTTGGTGTCATAATAATAAATTTGATGTTAACATTGACAAGTGCAAAATTATGAGAATAACAAGAAAGGTAGATAAATTGAACTTTTATTATAACATAAATGGCTTGCCGCTACAAGTGTGTAATGAATTTAAGGATCTAGGTGTAATATTTGATTCTGCGTTGTCTTTTGTACCGCACATCGAACATATCGTGAACAGTTCTCTTAAAAATTTAGGTTTTATATTTAGAAATGGAGCGGATTTTAAAGATATATTTAGTTTTAAACTGTTGTTTTATGCGTTAGTTCGAAGTAAGCTTGAGTATTGTTGTGTAGTTTGGGCACCACATTATAAAATTTATATTAATCTTATTGAAAATGTGTTGCGAAAATTTTGTAAATTTATTTATTTTAAGATGTATGGTTCATATCCGCCTCAACACTGTGCATCAGAAGCGTTATATAATATAGTTGACGAATGTTTCCTCTATGCGCGGAGAAATGTAGCCTGTGTAACCTTTATGCAAAAACTAATAAGTGGCAAAATTTTCTGTCCATCAATATTACAAAATATTCAGTTTATTTGCCCCCGTGTAAACTGTCGTACGCCCACAACATTTTATTATCAGGTGCCTAGTACATTCCATCATTTCAATAGCCCGCTTATGAGATGTTTGAGATTGTGTAATTGTTTAATAAATCATAATGTAGACATATTTTATGATAATTTTAGTAACACAAAATATAAAGCAAAACTAACTGCTATTTGTTACAACTTTAATATGATTTAAGGTTCGCTGTGATCTAATTTGCTTTCCCTTTTCATTTATATTTTTCTATTTTGTTAGGTTCTTTTAGATACAATTTTAATAATGTTAGTGTATTAAGTTTCCACCATAGACAATGTAGTCTGTTGGAAATAAATCCTTATTATTATTATTATTATTATTATTAAATAAGTCTACACATATTAAGAAAACAAAAGACAAAATGTATCTCCGCCCACCCACCCTATCTCAATTCTGATGATTTTTTTATTCATCGTGAGCCAAGAAAGCGGAGCTTAACTGCAAAATCCACATTTCCTTACAAAATTTACCATTTTAGATATGTTTTAAGTTTCATGTTGTTAAAAGAAGTCTACACATATTTAAACAAAATAGCAAAATATAAATCCGCCCACCCGCCCTATCTCTATTGTGATGATTTTTTTAATCGTCAAGAGCCAAAGGAGCGGAATTTAATAATTGCACAATCCTTATTATTTCTCTACAAGAAATTACCATGTAAGACATGTTTTTGACTATCGTGCCATTCAAAGAATACTGTGCACATACATATGTATTAAGAAAAAATTAAAGCCATAGATTAAGTTCCACCCATACCTGCCCTGATCTAAATAGTAATGAAGTTTTCATTCGTTGGCCGACCTAGGGGCGGAGCCTAATTGTAAAATCCATAGTTCTTAAAAAAAAATTACCATTTTAAACATGTTATAAGTTTCTATGCATAAAAAAATCGTCACAATTGAGATGGGGTGGGTAGGTGGGGTTTATATTTTGCCTTTTTTTCTTAATATACATAGAATTCTTTGAACACCAGATACTTAAAAACATATTTTTAATTTCTTGTAAACAAATAAGTATTTTGCAGTTAAGCTCTGCCCTCTTGGTGCACGGCGAATAAAAAAAAATCCTCACAATTGAGATAGGGCGGGTGGGCGGGCTTACATTTTGTCTTTTACTTTAACTATGTGTAGACTCCCTTTCAAAGCATGAAACTTGAAACATGGTTAAAATGGAATATTTCTATAAGGAAATATCGATTTTGCAATTAGACTCAGCTCAAAATTGCAAAATCCATGTCTCAATTCTGATGATTTTTTTATTCGTCGTAAGCCCCGACGGGCGGAGCTTAATCCTTATTTTTCTACGAGAAATTACCATATGAAATATGTTCTTAAGTAATCGTGTTATACAAAGAAAACTAAATGTATTAATTAAAAAAGAAAACCCACCCAACCGTCTCGACGTCCAATCGTGATGAATTTTTCATTCGTTGTCAGACAGAGGGGCGGAGCGTAATTGTAAAATCTATATTTTCTTACAAAAATTTACCATTTTCAACATGTTGTGAAAATAAGACTACACATATTAAGAAAAAATGTAAGTCCTTGTAATAAAATACTCATAATCGGTTTTTGAAATTCTGCAGGCGTTTCAGCAAGGTAAACTTTTGGTCAAAATTTAGTTGTTCATCCCCCCTAAAAGTTAATGACGTCAAAATTTTACCGAATAGATCCTGTTGAAAAACGCAAAGTATGATGAGTCTATACTTGTGATTTGTCATTGCCTTGCATATAGAGGTGATTCAAAAAAAATAATGAAAATAATCAAAATATATCTATATCTAACCACCCGACCCCTTTTTTCCATTAGATAAAATAAATTTTATAAAATTAATCACCCTCTAATTTTTTATTGATCAAATTAAGAGTGAGTCACCCCATTTTCTCAAATATGTGAGAATACGCACGTCAGTATTTAATAATGATAATGTTAAAATAAAAATTACACATTTTGTTCGCTTGTGGCTTAATTAATAATTTTAATCCCCTGTTTGGAATCGACAAACGTGACATTCTTCCGATGTATAAAACATAAACACTTCAAGTTATTGCTGAGACCTTATTTTGACTTATTGAGGGTAAGCTAAGGAAGCTAGTACCTTATAAGATAAAACTGATTTTGGCAGATGACATACCTTCTATGAAAACGGAGGGTGGGTGGGTGGGGCTAGTACCTGCTACGATAAAACTGATTTTGGCAAATGATATATCCTCTAAGAAAAGCCGCCCTTCATTTTCTTAGAGGATATGTCAATTGCCAAAATCAGTATTATCTTAACAAATATTATTTCAACTGCAACATCAACGGATGATATAAACGACGCTTACCTTCGTTGCGTATTTATCTTACAACGGCAACGTCAACGGTGAACGGCAACGTCAGCTCCAAGTTTAAAAATCGACATTTACTCTGTATTTGTAGCTTAAATCGATTACTTAGAAATGTTGCACACTCTTTTTTTTAAATCTCTTATCAATTAATTATCACTTTTTAGAATTACTTATATACTTATACAGGATGACTCAAAAAAAATATGAATGATGCAATATGATCTAAGGACGCAATCTATTTGATTGATTAATTTTGTTTTGGAAATACTCACTTGAAACATAAGCATAGTATGCTTCTTTATCTATACTCTAGCAGTCACGCAGTTTTTTATTTTAACTTATAGGAGTTGTCATAAAAAAAATAAATTTCGCCAGACTTAAGTTTATAGTGTTCCGAAGAAACTGCATTTTTTTGTCTGTACTTCACAGGTGAAGAACAATTTTTAGTATTCGCCGTCGATCTCATTAAAAGTCATCCGCTGCTTTGTCTGTCCATCCCTACCGAAATTTTGATGACGTCGCCTCAATAATTTGTAATTCTAGAATTAAACGTTTATTTGCATTTAGTACGCCACTGAAATATTAGTTATTTTGTAATAACACTAGAGTAATTTAAATTTACTGATTCCAGTTTCTGTTTTTGTTAAAATGTGTGAATGTCTAAAACGGACTGTGAAACGGTGGACCGCAAACCCAGTGAACGTTAATCCTCAGTGTTTCCTGTTTTCCTGTCTATACTTTTCGCGAATTGAATACCGACCTCGGGACTGGAGGCACAGCCAGCAATGACGTTTAAGCGTGACGTCATTTTATATCTTCTTTCTTCTCTATCTCGTTCGTAAACTGAAAAGTGTGTGTTTGTGTAATTGTTAGAATATTAAGGCGTAAAAGCAGTTATTTCAAACGTTTATACACAAGCATCCGGGTGAGGAACGCTAAAAATGCAAAAAATAAAATCCGATAACGTAATTTCCCCGTCTGATCCAGGTTCTAGGCCTGCTTCTACTTTTGCCTGTTTCGACTTGTTAATATTGAGTAATGGTGCGTAACTGTTGATGAAGATTCCGCTGTAAGAATTGTTATTCGAGAGACAAACACTCAATAAGATGGAAAAACAAAGCAAAGGAAGGAGCCGGCCTATGCCGGATGCTGGAAACATCAAAGACATCACTTTGAAGCTACAAAAAGCACTCCAGAGCGAGAACCAGTTCGTTTGGAACAATTCAGACCGAAAGTCTTGGGAAGTTACGATGTCTGCCAGGGATGGTGCTGTCCATGTAATGAGATTCCTAAAGATGTGGTTCGATCTTCCACAAGCTGTCTTTTTCACAGCTGTCAACTACCTGGACATGTTTTTGGCGCGCATGAAGGTAACCTCATTGTTGCACAATTTTCAAAATTTTTACATAAGTTTCGTGTTTTTATTGTTCTAGGTCCAAGAAAAATTTCTTTCGTGTTTGTCAGTTAGTTGTTTTAACATCGCCGTCCTGGATCATGGACGCGAGATAGATACTAGTCAGTTGGTGGCCTTAGCTCAGAGTAAAGGTTCCGTCAAGGATATGGAACGTATGAGTACAATAATCACGCAAAAATTAAATTTGGGGAAAAAAAACTTCTGCAACGCTTTGGATCTGTTGCAAATTTATATGAACATCTTTCGATATATTGCTGTGCAATTCAGAATTGAAAGCCTCCTCAACAGGATGTTGCAGGTCTGTACTTTGTTTTTATTATTAAAAAAAAAAAAAATTAAAATAATTGTTTTGTAGTGGCAACAATTATGCACAAGGTTTGAGGTACTGATCTGTGATTCTTCGTGTGCTTGTTTCAAGCCATCACTTATTGCCTTGGCTTTTATCCACCATGAAATGGAACGTTTCTTGTCACGAGAAATACCAAGAAAGTCCAACTATTACACTATGGAGATGTTTTATATATTAGCGGTGATGATTGAACTGCGCTCTTTATGCAACGTATGTCAGTATAGAGTACTAAATTTCGTAATACTATTTTTGTTTGTTTGTTTTAGATTAATTCAAGTGATTATACTTCTTGTTTTGAAGCCATCACCAAAGCTCTGAAAGAGTATGATGGAAAGAAAAAACTAAACCACTGCCAGAAGCTAACCTGGCGGTTTTCACTCTCAACACATGCCTTGTCGGAGTACACTCTTCGTTTTCCCATGCTCAATACAATTAAAGAAGAGTAAAAAAAGCAAAAAAAGTCAATATATATATAGTTTGTATAATCAAAATTAATTCTGTTACACGTTCTGTATTTTTAAGAGACGTTGTCAGAAGAGACTACTATTTTTGTCCAAATTTGTGAACAAAGTTACGTTATGTATTTTATTTGACCTATGTTAAGTGTTTTGATGTCTAAAAACGTCAGAAGTGTTGCATTCTGACAAAAAAAAGTTAAAAATGCTAGTTTACATGTACTTCGCCTCAGTTGTTACTGTCACAAGTGAAGTACATTGAAACTCAAAAATACCATTTTATACAAAAAAGTGAGGTTATTTTTTTGTTGATGGTTTAAAAAGTGCGTAGAAGTATTAAAATCCCAGGAAAAATTTTGTAAACTAGTCTTATGTTACCATTTCTGTCAGACAGTTAATTTTGAAACTTGTAACATTCTCAATAAAACCAAGAAAGATCAGTGCTTTGTTTTTCATGAAAATAAAAACCCTTGGGTATATTTGTCACATTTTTTGTAGATTTTTACAGTTTAAACTCGCTGAAAAATTTTGGAATGACGTCATCGCATTTTGGTGGGGTCATCCGACAATTTTAACTTGCGTTTTGCCGTAGTACAGTATAAATCATCTAAAATTTCATAGAATCTTGTTTGGAATTATTTGGTTAATCAAATGAGAACAAACGGACGGAAATGACCTAGTTTTTCCTATTACGGAAGTTACGAAACTGGAAAACCTAAAGTTAGCAAAGTAGGCTTTTTTTTGTGACGTCATCACTTTGATACGTACACTAATAACAGCATTGTGTACTCATAATTTTAGAAAAAAATAAACCTTTCGAAACATTTCTTGTCAAAAAATACATACATTATTTAATAAATGGGTATGGCATTATAAATTTCAAATGACATTTACGTTATAAAATTTTGGGATGACGTCATTAGTTTTTAGAAGAGATAACTCGATGAATTATTCAAAAATGTTGATTTCTCTTTTCCGTCTGTATTTCGTCCTTTGGTTCCCCAGGTTAAGCAATTAATTTCCAAAATATTTGAAATTTTACACATATCTTAGCTTTGCCGTATACACAACGTCCCAGATTTGTAAAAAAATACGTTACGTTGTCGTTTACGTGATACGTTGAACGTGACAAACTTAATTATTGCTACTATTATGTACAGAATTGTAGAAACGACACAGTTTATGATAGCATATGTGATATTTTTAAATTTTAAATATTTCATATTGCTGTGTCAACGTAAACGTAACCGTAACTTATTGCTGACGTTGGCGTTGTAAGATAAATACGTAGCGAAGGTATGCGTCGTTTATATCATCTATAAGGGCTTACATTTTGCCCTTTTTTGTATTTTTGTTGGAAAGTATCGATTTTACAATTAGGCTCCGCCCCTCGGTGTGACAACGAATGAAAAATTCATCACGATTGAGATCGAGACGGATGGGTGGGGCTTCTCCCTTGGTTTTCTTTTTTAATTAATACATTTTACAATTAAATTCCGCCCCTCGGCTTACGACGAATAAAAAAATCATCAGAATTGAAATAGGGGGGGTGGGTGGGGATTATATTTTGCCTTTTTTTTTTCTTAATACACATAGCCATCTTCGTCGTGAACCAAGAGGGCGGAACTTAACTGCAAAATACTTATTTTTTCACAATAAATTAAAAACATGTTTTTGAGTATTGTGTTGTTCAAAGAATACTGTATATATTACGAAAAAAGGCAAAATATAAGCCCCACCCACCCACCCCATCTCAATTGTGATGATTTTTTTTATTCATAGAACCCTAAAACACATTTAAAATGGTACATTTTTGTAGTGAAATATGGATTTTGCAATTAGGCTCCGCCCCTTGGTCTGGCAACGAATGAAAACTTTATTACTACATATTTAGATTAGGGCATGTATGGGTGGGGCTTGATCTTTGGCTTTAGTTTTTTCTTAACATAGATAGTATTCTTTGAATGACACGATATTCAAAAACATGTCTTACGTGCTATTTTTTTGTAGAGAAATAATAAGGATTTTGGAATTAATTTCCGCCCCTTTGACTCTCGATGATTAAAAAAAATCATCACAATTGAGTTAGGGCGGGCGGATGGGGCATATATTTTGCCTTTTTTCTTAATATCTGTAGTCGTCTTTTCAGAACAAGAAACTTAAAACATGTTTAAAATGGTAAATTCTTGTAGACAAATATAGATCTTGCAATTAAGTCCCCGCCCCTCGGTCTGATAACGAATGAAAAATTCATCACGATTGAGATTGAGTCGGATGGGTGGGGCTTCTCTTTGGGTTTTCTTTTTTAATTAATATAGACATTTAGTTTTCTTTGTATAACATGATTATTTAAGAACATATTTCACGTGGTAATTTCTCGTAGCAAAATAACGATTTTGCAATTAAGCTCCGCCTCTCGGCTTACGACGAATAAAAGAAATCATCAGAATTGAGATAGGGCGGGTGGGTGGGGCTTATATTTTGCCTTTTTTTTCTTAACATACATATCCATCTTTTCGCGACAAGAAACTTAGAACATGGTTAAAATGGTACATTTTTGCAAGGAAATATGGATTTGGCAATTATGGGGCGGAGCCAAATATCCCGACTACGCCCTCCACGTTCGTAACAAAGTAAAAAATTGATCGACGATTATTTCTAAAGTGGGATTTATAAACTTGCGGTGGACGTTGCTGGAAGTTGTCACTCCTAAACTCCAAGTTGCCGATGATATTAACTTTGATGTATTTAAAGGGGTTGTAGAAGAAAAGTGGCGGCTTTAAGTTGATTACTACAAAAATTTACCAGTTTAGACATGTTTTAAGTTTCTTGTTGTCGAAATAAGTCTGCACACATTAAGGAAAAAAAGGCAAAAAAATTGCCCCGCCCACCCACCCTATCTCAATTGTAAAGATTTTTTTTATTCATTGTGCGCCAAGAGGGCGGAGCTTATCTGCAAAATCCTTATTTCTCTAGGAGAAATGTTAAGAAAAAAATAAAGCCAAAGATTAAACCCTACTCATACCTGACCTGATCTAAATCACAATTGAAATAGGGTGGGTGGGGTTTATATTTGGTCTATTTTTCTTAATATACATCGTATTCTTTGATTACATTTTGCCTTGTTGTTTTAATATGTGTAGACTTCTTTCCACAACATGAAACTTTAAAACATATTCAAAATGGAAAATTTATATAAAGGATTTTGCAACTAGGCTCCGCCCCATAATTACAAAATCCATATGTCCTTGCAAAAATGTACCATTTTGACAATGTTTTAAGTTTCTTGTTGTAAAAAGGGGGATATGTATATTAAGAAAAACAAAGGCAAAATATAAGTTATATTTCCTTATACAAACTTTCCACTTTAAACATGTTTTAAGTTTCTTGTTGTGAAAAATATAAGCCCCGCCCACCCGCCCTATCTCCATTGTTATGATTTTTTTTTATTCGCCGTGAACCAAAGTGGCAGAGCTTAACTACAAAATACTTGTTTCTTTACAAGAAATTAAAATCATGTTTTTAAGTACCGTGTTATTCAAACAATACTACGCATATTAACAAAAAAAAGCAAAATATAAACCCCACCCACCCCATCTCAATTGTGATGATTTTTTTATTATTAGATACTTAAAACACTTTTAAAATGATAAATTTTTGTAGGGAAACATGGAACCCCTAGGTCTGCCAACGAATGAAAACTTCATTATTATTTAGATTAGAGCAAGTATGGGTGGGGCTTAATATTTGGGTTTAATTTTTTCTTAATGTATATAGTATTCTTTGAATAACACGTCACTCAAAATGGTAATTTCTTGTAGAGAAAAAAATAAAGATTTTGCAATTAAATTCCGCTCCTTTGGCTATCGACGATTAAAAAAGAATAATCACAATTGAGTTCGGGTGGGTGGGCGGGGCTTATATTTTGGCTTTTTTCTTAATATATGTAGTCGTCTTTTCAGAGCAAGAAACTTAAAGCATGTTTAAAATGGTAAATTCTTGTAAACAACTATCGATCTTGCAATTAAACCCCAGCCCTCGATCTGACAACGAATGAAAAATTCATCACAATTAAGAATTGGGATCGGGGTGGGTATGGGTGGGGCCAAATCTTTGACTTTATTCTTTTCATGATATACATAGAATTCTTTGAATAACACGATACTCAAAAACATGTTTTTAATTTCTCGTAGAGAAATAAGGATTTTGCATAAAAAAATCATCACAATTGAGATAGGGTGGGTGGGCGGGGCTACATTTTGCCTTGTTATCTTAATATGTGTAGACCTATTTAGACAACAAGAAACTTAAAACATGTCTAAAATGCTAAATGTTTGTAGCAATCAACTTAAATCCTGCATTTTTCTTCGACAATCCATTTAAATATGGCAAAAGTTGAACATCAAAGTTACTATCAACGGCAACTTTATAAATCCCACGTTACAATTAAGTTCCCGGTTAGACATTTGATAGAAGTTTTACGAGTTTTATGAAGAAGACTTTCAATGCAGCATCTGTCATGCAATTTTAAACGCATATATTTCTTTTAATACTGTCAAAGTGTTGTAATCAGTTGATCTGACTATATTTTAAGCATTTATATTCAAAAAAACGAAAGCATGGACTCTTTGTATTTCGCGATTATTTTGTAGTACCAACCTTACGTCCGTTTTCCACTAAATGTTGACAGACGAGTTTGACACATGTTTGACATTTTGACGTAACAGTGGCATATTAATAAATGGTGTATTTATAAAATGTATGTGATATAAGCGTAATTTTAAAAACAATGCAAGCAAAAAAACGTTACTTGCTTTTATTCGCATCGTGTGCGTTCCTTGCGTACTGGTATTTCGGCGGCTATCGCCTGAAAAGTAGCAATTTTACCCCTGAAGAGCACCTACCCTCGTTCGTCAATCTGAGTCAAATTTCCACAGGAAGTGCTTTGAAGGAGCGAGAAAAAACGCCGATCAACAATAAACTGTGCAGTATGGAAACCTGTTTCGACTTCAGTAGATGCCAAAATGGCTTTCGAGTGTTTGTGTATCCTCCCGAAGATAATAGTGTGCCCAGTCCGTCCTACCAAAAACTGCTCAATGTTTTAATAGAATCGCGATATTACACTGCCGACCCCCGATTAGCGTGCTTGTTCGTCTTGAGTATCGACACTTTGGACAGGGATCGACTCAGCAACGACTACGTTCGGGATATGCAGTCGCGGTTGCAGCACCTGCCCCACTGGAACAACGGCCTCAACCACGTCATATTCAACCTATACTCAGGCACGTGGCCTAACTACACTGAAAACAATCTGGATTTTAACTACGGAATGGCGATTCTGGCTAAAGCTAGTATGTCGGACAGCCACATGAGGCCCGGGTTTGATATCAGTATTCCTTTGTTTCACAAGATCCACCCCGAGAAAGGCGGAGAGGTGGGGGCTGTGATAGCGAATAGTATGCCTTTGCAAAAAAGTTATTTGCTAGCCTTCAAGGGAAAAAGATATGTACATGGAATTGGTTCTGATACGCGGAATTCCTTGTACCATCTCCACAACCGGAAGGACATGATCATGGTAACGACGTGTCGCCACGGCAAGAGCTGGAAAGACATGAAGGACGAACGCTGTGACCAAGATAATAAAGAATATGATAAATATGATTACGAAGTGTTGCTGCAAAATTCCACGTTTTGTCTAGTTCCTAGAGGGAGACGCTTGGGATCTTTCAGATTCTTGGAAGCTCTGCAAGCTGGGTGCATTCCGGTTTTGTTGTCAAATGGATGGGCGCTGCCCTTCGCTCAGGTCATCGACTGGAGTAAAGCGGCCATTTGGGCTGACGAGAGACTGCTCCTTCAAGTATTTTTTAATTAATTAATAATTTTTCTGTTATACTATTTATTCATTCTAGGTACCGTACGTAGTGAGGTCAGTATCTCCAGCAAAAATACTGCAATTACGTCAACAGACGCAGGTTTTATGGGACAGATATTTTTCGTCAATCGAAAAAATTGTTTATACCACTCTAGAGGTAAAAATTTGATTATGTGTGAACATTTATCAATTTTTTTTTCTTCCAGATTATACGTGAACGATTGCCAAATGAAACATTTAGAGATGCCACAGTGTGGAATAGTTTGCCAGGAGCTTTAGTAACATTGCCAAGTTTTTCAGACTCCCCTGAAAATTTTCCTTTTCAAGTAGATTACAATAACGATGAAGGCTTTACTGCTATTATATACTGCCAATTAGGGCTTTCTCTAACGCCATCAGCGCCTCTGTACAGACTTGTCACCAACGTTGCTCGCAGTAAATATGTTTCAAAGGTAAGTATTGACGTTTTGAGGTTAACACATTTTAATCGTGAATTTATGACATTATGTCATCAAAGTAGGCATAGATTTTCACCGCAACTGACAGATGTCAAATTAACACGAAATATCGAGCCAATTTTAAAGAAAATTCAACGTTTTTTCAAAAATGGCCGCTATTTTGACATGTTTTAAATGGTTGCATCATATTAAATACCGTATGTATGTTAAAAGTGAAATATGTTAAATTATATGCCTTGCGCACGCGCACCGAAAGCATGCATATGGGTCCGACTTCCTTTTTTATCTACTCGGATTTTCAAAATATCGTTACGTAAGTCTTTCATGTCCAATCAAATTGATTGGTTAAACAACAATACAGGTGGCCTCAAACTTGAGCCCTGAGATGTTCCGTTTCACCTCAACTTATTCCGACTTAATTTTTGTGTAGATTTTTGACATTCGGGCTTTAAACCTTTTCCAGATAATCGTAGTGTGGTCCAACGACAAGCGCCCTCCCACCCGGAGCCGGTGGCCCCCTTTACCCCACAACATCAGCTTGCATGTGATCCAGCCCGAGGGAGAGCCAACCAAGCCCAGTATTTCGCAGCGTTTTTACCCGCACCCCCAGATCGAGACGGCAGCCGTGCTGTCCTTGGACGAAGACTCCGTTCTCACGACCGACGAAGTCGACTTCGCGTTCATCGTCTGGAGGCAGTTTCCGGACAGGGTGGTGGGGTACCCGGCGCGCTCGCACTACTGGGATGACACCAAGGCCACCTGGGGCTACACGTCGAAGTGGACCAACGACTACTCCATCGTTCTGACTGGAGCGGCCTTCTACCATCGGTATTACAACGTGTTATACACTGAGTGGCTGAGCCCGCTGTTGCACAAAACGGTCGAGCAGAGCCAGAACTGCGAAGACATCTTGATGAATTTCCTCGTGAGTCACGTGACGCGCCGGCCGCCGGTCAAGGTCACGCAGAGGAAGCAGTACAAGGAGCAGCCGACGGTGGGCAGTTGGTCGCCGTGGAACGATCCCGATCATTTTATACAGAGACAGACGTGTTTGAATACCTTCGCTGCTGTGTTCGGGTATATGCCGCTGTTGAGGTCGAATTTGAGGTTAGATCCGGTGCTTTTCAAAGACCCTGTGTCGAATAAAAGAAAGAAGTACAGGAAAATTGAACTGGTGGGCAGTTAGTCCACGGCTAAGTTTAAGTGATATTAGCAAGTTGGCAATATTTTTTAATGTAACGACTTGGGGTTTAGTTGGTCTGTATGTGTTTTTGTTGAGTACGTATCGCCTGATTGTTGAAATTCTTATAAGTACTTTTTACATATGATCGAATGTTTATTGCTTTTATTTTATATAATATAAGGTACCAAAGAAATGAAAAATGTGTAATAAATACATTCATAAGATTAACCGATTTTTGAGTCCATCGAAAAGTGGCGCCACTTTATGATTGTAGGTGGTAAACACGTGACACTTATACAGGATTTTCATAAGTCTTTCGTGCATCTAAATTTAATTAATAGTTAAGAATGGATGTATGAATCGTTTATCAAAGTCTTGTACCCTTAACATATAGTTGTTTCCTGTTTACACGTAATCGAACTGAACCATTATACTTCCAAATAAAAGTAACTTTGTATTTAGTTACTAATTTGGTTAAGTATTTCCCCCCATGAATATGCCGTATCACACTAACGAATTGTCATAAAAATGAGGTTAGGTGTATGAAAACACCGCACACCGTATTCGAAACGTCACGAAACTTTCGTGGTGTGATACTGACTTTACGACAACACAGCAAACAAGTTTGTTTTGCACAGTCTCATGTGACACATTACATAATGTTAAAGTTACATTAGTCACCTAATGTATTTTAAGTTCAAACTCAGTTGTTGTCGATGTGGTTATTTAGTAAAATGAGTTTAGTAGTAATTGTATATCTTAGTTAAAATTTAATTAATCTCTGATGTTAGTTTTCATTATCAGCTGGTGTTAGTTCAGCAGTATTAAAAATGGGGAGATATACTAACGTCTTGCATTTTATATGAGCTACACGTTTTGTAATTGTATTGATTTTGCCGTTGTGGCACAGGCGCATTAAACTACAAGTATTATTAAATATTCCCAGTAAGTTTACGGTCCATTTAGCAACGGAATTTTGTACTTTTGTATAGAGTTGAAAAGTAAATGTAGGCCATTTGTTTATCACGACAGTTGTGTAACTTTTCTCGAAAATAAGAATTAAATGGTTTTTCCATGTTTTGTTTACTGATATCTGTACAAATCCGGAAGAATTTCAACAATTACAAAAATTAGAGCGCTCTATGTTATGTGTGTCTGTGGTAGTAGGTGACAGAATGTTGTACCCAACACCAAAATGCTGCATTACGAAGACTACATGTACTGTTTTTTGTTAAAAGTCGTGGATGCAATGGATTTTATATACCGAGCGATAGCTAAGGTTTCACGGTTTACAGCTCTCGCACAGAAATGAAGTTCCCCGCTTCCGTCTGACTGCCTATTGGAAATTTAACAAAATTATTTTGTATACGGAATTAACGGATTTTTGTTTTATGTAGCTACCGCATAACCCTGTTTCGGAAAAATTATCTAAGAATGTAGAGTATTTGATTTCACTGTGGAGATGAAACGAAATTGTTTCAGAAGTGGAGATTAATTAAACGTGAAACAAAATATCTTCTAAACTAGCATGTATTCTCTGTTACACGCGTCTGAAGCACAATCAATGCGGTATTTGTTGTGCTTCCGAGTCAAAGGAAATTCACATTTTTTGTAATTTCATCACATGTAAGAAAAATGTTATTGATTATCTCGGAAACGTTTGATCTAATTATTTGAAATTCTCGTAACGTAGTTACGTTGCGATATTAAATTGATGTAAATGGTTTGAAAGACGTCGATGTTGTTGTTTTCAGAGATGGGGGAAGTTTTGTGAATAATCTTCGGTATTTTTTATACGTATTATGTGCCGAAGCGAGGAATGATAATGTAAAACATACGTATTACGAAAAATTAGAGTTTATGGTGATTTGCCTTCAGAGCTGTAAATGTGATGATTAGCATACAAATCTGTTGCATCCTTGCATATGAATAATGTATTATGTAATTTGATTACGAGATCCTACGAAAATATACATTTTTATGAAAAAGTTTTCTCTTTCTTTTTATCAGGTCAAGGGTGGGAATGAAGCTTCATGTCACTGGGCACAGTTGCTACATTTATTTAACAATTTTATGATGTATAACAATTAGAATACAGGATAAACATGCGTAACACACATAAGCTACATTTTAGATGCTATGACATTAACATTTTTAAACGACCTGCAAATTATGAAAAATTTATATCATTAGCAACACTACAAATCAATTGTGTAGCTTGTCGCTTCTCCTTGCTAATTTGCTTGGATATCTGACACGTCTACAAGAGGAGCTGGCTTGTAGAGTGACTAAATATTCAAGTGCAAAATATACATCTCCTTACATATATATTTAAAAATAATTATATATATATAAAGAATTATTGTACTTTATCTTTAAAAATAACATTAACTACGTTAAGAGTGTTGAATGATTATTTACACAAGTACCTATTTACTAAAAGGAATGATTTGAAACAGCCTCCATAGCAATGCACACATGTTTATTACATTTAGGTGATAATAGTTATTGTATGGTTTTCTGTAAGATGTTGCAGGTGTAGACCCGAAGTGTACCAACTATCACAACGTTACATAAACTCAGTACATTCAGTGATCAGAGTAGGGACGGTCGAAATTGAGATCGACGTTCCGGCGTTTGGTGAGTAGATAGTGCCTTAAACATCGTTCCTAACTCTGACAGAAAATGACTAGATAATCAGTTAAGATCGTATAATGAATGGAATGCCAAATCAGTCGGACCATGTAGGAGTAGAAGCCCCAATCTCACGCAAAGTATGCTTATTTTAGGTCAGTTCCGTCTTTCAACATCTCTTCGATTTCTTCGATCTCCTGTTCCCAGACGTCCCTTTTGCCATCCGGTTTCTCCTCGGCGACCACCTCGTAGTCGTGTAGTTCGGCCACGAGTTCGCGCTCCCACTCTTCTATGTGAAAAATATTAGGGATAAGGGTAGGCACAAAACAAAAAACAAAAACAGTGTAGGGTTACTTTGAGCAATCTTGCTTGAAACAAAACCAGATGCTCAGAGCGTTTAGTTTCCTGTTTGTACACAAAAATAGGTTGAGTATTATTAATCTGAGCAACTGGCGGGTCCACACCGTAAAAATTGAACCTTTTTGTAATAGTTACTCGAATAGCGGAATCTATTATTTTATATACCGACTCCTATATTGTCTTTAATCAACCTAACCTGTGTCCTTGACGTTAATTTTAGGAAGACACATATAGTAAAACCTACAATTATATTGCCAAAATACACCACATTTACAAGAGATTTAAAATTGTCAACAAAAATTAGTCAAGCGACACAGTTTAGCCCACGTCGTTTTTGAAGGATCGTGTTTCAAAAATCGCGCGTAAGTTTGGTACTTTTGAAATGAGTCCACCTAGACATTCCCGTAACGCAGCCGAATTCAGACCATTTCAAGAATCGAAAATCATCAAGAAAGACTACGAATTCTCTAACAAGTTACTTAACGGTAATCTTACAACTCGTATAACCCATAAAAATAAAATCGGAAAAGACTGGATATGAGGTGTAGAAACGAGACAAAAGGAAAGAAGGATAATGGAAGTTAAAGTTGACGGCGTTCTTCTTAAGCTGCGACAAAATCAAACAGGAAACTAACCACAGCTCTTAGACTGATCAAAATCTACAGGCTCCACGCTTTCAGAACGAGCCGTTCCGAGTCAAGAACGGGGCGCTTTAAAAGCCGTAGAAGTGCTACACCAAAAGCAAAGCGGTCTGTCTTACCCTTCGGTTGTGACACTAGCACCGTTTTCATCATACGTTCCGCTACTTCGACAAAATCTTCACTGCTAGCCTGTAAACTATCTGACACAAACTCTTCCATCTCGTCATCTGAACTAGCTACCGCCCAATAAAATAAATCAAAACTCAAATAAAACGCTAGTCTACTGCAAGCACACAGTCGCTGCAAGCGGTACGAAGACCTTACCTATAGGCTGATCAGAAGTGACAGGCTTGATGGCCGATTGGCTGTCACCGTCGCGAGACATGAACGATAGTTCATTGGCCTGGCAAATTAGGCTGACGCGGTAGAAATAATTCCTCCAAAAGTTCTCTTCGCTTATTCTGTGAGAGAGAAAAAAACAAAACAATCAAATTGAGTAGAGGATAAATCGAGCTGACGTCACGAGCGGCTACCCACGAGCGCGAAATTTGAATCCGAGTGTGCGCGTTTCAGGCGAATTTGTGTCAAAACTTACACTTTAGGCACAAGTTCGTATCGCATTTTTTCCAGATTAGGATCCTGCTCCATTATGGCCATTGCAACGGGGTAAGATACTTGGTAGTCGAACTGGAAGTCAATCCCAGCCGGGGGACTACGTACGAAGTTCTTTTTATCGGTCGATAAGCTGAGGCACTCTTCCTTGAGAGCCTCCTCGTTGGAGCAACCGGCCCATGGAGGCAGGGCGGTGGCAGTGTTACCTGCCTGCCCCTTCAGGAATGCCTCCTGTTCCTTGTTAAACTCGCCGAGAATACTCTGCAAGAGCTAGTTTAGTCGAAACTAATACCCCCTAACCTCGAACCTACGTTCTTTTCCACGGTCTCTTTAATCTTTGCACTCGCTTCGCTCACGGTTTTTCCCGCTTTGTTCACAGCCGAGTACAAAAAGTTACCAAAGGACTTGGCTCCAGCCAAAGCCTTGCTTTGCACTGCCACAAATAGAAGTTAATCTAAATACGCGCAAATTTTAGTTAGTTACCGTTCCCGAATTGACCTTCTTTTTCCTCGGTTGGTGTTTCAGCGATGGATTGCGGGCCAGAATCGGCACCCCCGGTGGCACTACGTAAGAAACTTTAACCACACTCGATATATAGATATCTGCGCAATAAATTACCTGGAATTGTCGTCGTCCTCTTTGTGCTGAGGTGACCCCTTGGCGGGCTCAGCTGAACCCTGGGCGGTACCTTCGTCGACGGGAACCTGTTGGTCCTCCAAACCACCTTCTTCCCCTTTTCGCAATTTAGGAATGCTGGAGCCGAGCCAACCCCCGATTCCCTCGATTTGGGACCTAACGTTGGTGAGCATGTCCAAACGGCTACCACCGCCGGGCTTGGTAGGACTGCACGGACACGAAACAATCATAATAACCAACGCAAAACTAATACTCACACAACAGTCACAAAAAATTAGGGATTGTTTCGAATTTTGTGCAATAAAAGACAGGTTTAATGACAAGTTGCATATTTAATATAATCATCAATTTGCAATCATTATTACGTGCTTTTGCCCCTTACGCCAAAACCAGAGACTAAGCGATTTTGCGTCACACCAAGGCTAAATCCAGCTACTAATTTAAACTAGGAGGTATGTAATTATGTTATTGATTCTACTGGCAATACGATCCTCGTTAATTTGCAATCACTGTGATTTTATAACAAGTAATTTCCATTTTTTTTCCGGATCAAACGAATAAAAAAAGATAATTTTAACACAAAACCGCAGATTTAGACTGTTTATTTTTGGACTTTACACACTCAAGAATAAAAAACAATACAGACGGCATTGTTTCATCAAATTACATACGTTCACTTTATATAACGTGATTAATTTTTTTGTGACCTTGACGTGGCACACAATGGCGGCTGATTTTGCACGTTATAGATATAGAACAGACAACTCCATATTAAACTACCGTATAACTGTTTAAGACATTTATTTGTTGAAAATGTATATACAGGGTGTTTCGTTTCAAGTATGGAAACTCAACATATTTTCTAATTTTTATATTCCGGCTGCCAAAAATTGTCTAAATTATTATTTTGTGGTTTTCTTAATAATTTTTGTACAATAACTCTAATTAAGAAATATTAATTGAGAATTAATGACGTCATCTCACAAAATTGTTACATAAATCCGCAGTGAAAAGACGAGAAGCGAAGGAGTTCAGTGCAAATAACTTTATAACTTTATTATATATTTTTTCATTAAATGCAGCCACAAAATTACGAACAATACACTAAAAATTGGATCGATACACTTGGTATACGAACATTAAATCTGACATTATTGGGCGCATCATCACAAACTTTTATTATACGTTCGACTAAGAAACAACCACTAAGCATCCGTTATGCGTTGTTCTAGTGTTATTGAATTGTTTCCTACAAGTGTTTAGATGATTGTCAGAAACACAATAGTGTATAACTCGCATGTCGGATACTAATTGCTCACGTCCATGAATGTAGATCGCTTTTATATTCGTAAGAAATGGATACAACTGTCCTATGTATGTTTCTTAGTAACTATAAATCTAAAACAATTGTAAAATTGTTTTTTGCAATTTATTATTTCGATCAATGATATCTGGGTGTGAGACGCCCATAGAACGTGATCGACACCCATTATCAAGAAAACGACAGACCCGCTACGAATTACTGAAATTTCTAAGAAATATCTTTAATTTATTAATTTCAATATCAAAAATAGATATTAATTCAACAATGCACACCCTGTATAAGGTCTCATGTCATATCACGATGTAAATATTTACAAAGTACACATACTGATGACCAATGAACTAATTTCTTTTCATAATCGAAAATTTCTGCTCCAAAAAAGACCCCATTTCCTGTCATCAATTTTATCCGAAACTCGCAAAATCAATCGCATAAAAAATTCAAATCAAGTTATTTGCCTCACACACCCGGAACTTTTTCCATACAACTCCTCGAACTTAATGTATGAAATGATCTTTTAATAACCCTCACCTCATCCCATTACATCGCACAGATGAATAGGTACCTTGCAAAACTCCTACAAACGCGAAGTCGAAAAGTTATCGTAGCATAAAGCGAAAAATTAATATAAAACTTTTCGACTCAAGCCCCCGATATTCACAATATATACTTCTTCCAGTTTCGAAGGTGTTAATCAACACATTTTTTATATCCAGAGGCGGCCAAATATTTTCGGGAGGGGGGTGGGTGGGTGGGTGGAAGACATCGAGGGAGGGGTCTACAACTCCACCTCTGGTGTTTCCAAGGGAGCAGCCGCCCCCCGACCCCTATCTTTGCTAACGCAACCAGAAAACGCATCAGATTTTTCAAAAAAAAAAAATTTTTAATCTGGCGAAGTAGGAACGCGTAGCACCAGAACGTCACGTTTTTAATTTTTTTTTTAATGAAAATTAAATATTGTTCGACTGTACAGGGTAGGTTAAATTTAGGGTTTTCAACGGTACCAGATAATAATATACCGTATGCGGGTATTTGTAGGGTGTAAGGTAGAGTGTAAAGAGTTCCAGGAGGTGGTAGACGGGTTAGAGGAATGCGAATATCACGTTAAAGAAATTGGAGAAGAAAATGACGCTCAGGCGGTGCTAATTGAACGGTTTGAGGTATGTGATACGAGTGAAGAGGTTGAAATCACATACATCTAATAACAATAGGTAATAATTACGGAAATTCAATCTTGGTTTAGTGTATCATACGTACTTGAAGGGTTTGAAAGTTATATAACGTTACAGCGCGAAGATAAGTGATTTGTAGGAGACGTCAGCGATCTTTCAGACGTTTGCAATAAATTTGTAATAGCAACAGATTTAAAACTGTACCCCGATTATACACCAGTTACACTTCAAGGTTTAAAGTGTGGTATATCCACACATTTTAAAGTCCGGCGAAATACATGTGTCGGCAATAATTAGTCATCACTTCTGCTCGACCGAACCTGAGTTATCTAAGATAAATTAAAACCGAACTTCGTCGTAGTTTAAAAACAAAGACAACAATAATAACAACAATAATAAAAATAATTAAGTGTGAGGGGACATCTCCGTGTAAATACGCGTTATCGCTGTAATTTACATATGGTAATCGATAAAGATCGCATAAAATCCTCACCTAGCGTCTTTCTTGTCTGGACTGCTGACCACGTTGCCTTCCTCGGTTGGAGTTGGCACCTTTTCCTCTTGGTCCCCTTTCGCGGAACCCATCCAAGATGTGACCTGATTAGTAAGTCCGGAAAACATTTTCGCTCTCGGTTGGACACACTAGAACACGACGGTCAGGTGTGGAATGGATGAAGCGTCCTGGAGCGCGATTAAATGACGAATGAATGCATATTAAGTGTGGTTAAGGTATTTATATTATTGTTTAAATCCCGAATCGAGCTACACTGGAGAATTCGGTGTCTTGCTCACTCCACTTGGTTGTCGGCTATCGCGTTTGCGACTGCCCTTCGCATGCGCGCGCCTCATGTCGTACGAGTGAGAGTGGCAAAAGCGGAAACTGTGCAACTGTGGCACTAACTAACGCCGATTTTTCGCTCTTTAAGGGGAAAAGGGGCAAAATTTTCACCGCAATGGATTAAAATTGGTCAGGGTGTCCACTTATTAGGACCAACCTACCGCAATCGACAACGCGTGAGATGGACGGCGAACGTTCATTCTCTTTCTAGAGATAGCCTCCGACAAGAAACGATCCCTTTTTAACTTTTTATTTGCTAAATAGTAAACATAATAACAATAACACAATGACTTGAATTATTATCATTAGGATTACTATTACTACAAGGTGGCAACATGATTTTAAAATTACTGTAACGGAACCAAAACTGTATGAATAAATTGGTACAGAGTTAACTATTTAAGCTCACACAAATTTTTGTAAAAGCTGTCAATAAACTAATACGCAACAGAAACAACATATGTTTTATAAAATGAGCGTTAAAACAATTTGTTTTAAAAGTTTCAAGTGTATTTTACATGTGTCAGAGATAAAATCAACGCAGTTGAGGCTTTTTATCACGCAACAAAAGATAATATAAAATACCGAGAGCGTGTACTTGGTTCGTAATTATTGAGTATCTCGAGACGGTCTTACAAAATCGGCGTTTAAAGTAAAAATGATCGTAATTTATAACCTCAATCCCGTTTATTTGAAATTAATTGACTTACATTTCTGTTTTGAACAACTATAAACTAATGAGTACATTTTATGACGACTATTAGCTGGATGTTCAGTTCGTTTATGCGAAGTCCATAACCATCATAATATAAATAAAAATGTTAAAACACACACTAAACGGATCTAAAGATTTTGATGACTGTGTATGACTAAAATATTATAGAGCTCCAAAGTTGTATAAAAAAATATATACGCCAAACGCAACATATTATAAAATGAATCTCAAAACCAAGTGTTGTAAAAGTTTGGAATGTATTTTAGGTGGGTCGCACTCAAGGTAGTTGCGTTATTATATCTATAGATAACAAGGGGGTTTTATATTACGTAACAAAAGAAAATATAAACACCGAGACGTAATTGGTAACTCATTGTTGAGTAATCGGAGATCTTGCTGGTCATCTGTACAACATTGGGGTCTAAAGTAAAAATAATTGTAATTTGTAACGTCTTAATACGTCACAACTTGAAGAATACGTAAATGTTAGTGTTCCGATTCCTCCTGTTAGCTATTTAGCTATTTCCAGAAGGTTCTGGAAATGGAAACTAATTTTTGAGTCTATAATCGATCGACTCATTTAGTTATGCAGTGTGACTCAAAAAAAAATGAATAAATTTATTTCATTGATTAAATCAGAAACTGCAAAACCGTATGTAATGAAATCTTACAGACGTTTTAAAGTTATCGTTATTCATTCGAAACATATGCACAGTACGCGTCTTTACATTTACTAACATCACATACATTTATTTATTATAACTTACAAGGGTTCTTATAAAAAATAAATAAAATTCGCAAAATCAGTTTTTATAATTTTTCGAAAAACTGGATATTTGTAACGTCAACCAGCCACTTTTTGACGAGAGTTTAATATTTAACTATTTCCAGAAGGTCCTGGAAACTAAATTTTCCAAGTTATCGTTTATATTCAAATTTTTGACAGTCAATGTGTTACCAACCTGACAAAAAACTTAATAGTCACTCGATATCACAAAGTGAGTGTTAAACAAGGACGTTATATTAATTATTAATACAACGTGCTTGATGTTAAAACAAATTTTTTCTAAAGTTTTGAATGTATTTTACATGGATCGTAGATAAAATCAACGTAGTTGCACAAGAGAACAAGAAGGTCTTTTATCACGCAACAGAAGATTATATTATAAAATAGTACAAATCAGATATTGAAAAAATATTTAATGCTTTTAGCTATTTATTTATACAGTCGCACAAAGGCAGCTTTTTAAATTAATTGATATAAATTTAATTAGGTACTTAAATAGAAAAATAACAGACTTATTTAATCTAATCTGTCTAGTCTTTATTGCAAGCTATTTCTAGTCCCTGCAAAAATTTGATGACGTCATGTAGCATTATTCAAATGTGAACCCTGGTATGCTGTTTTCCATGTCGATTTGCGTACGAGTCGTCTTAAACTTGTTAAGTTTGGGCCACGAAATTTACAATTTCTCTTAGAAATTACATAGCAGCCCTCCTTGAAACGTCGGTTTGATTGAGGGTTTCATAACATAAACTCAAATTTATTTATAGATTCCATATCTCACCTAATCCTCACTTTTCTTTCTGTCACGGCAGATGCTTCTTATTCGACAGAAAAAGAACCTTGATGTTCGACATTCATTTACTTTGGTAGCTCATCTTGATAGAAAAGAAACATGAAATGTGAATAAATCACAAATACACTCATTAGTTTCGATGATTAGATATAGTTTTGAAATGCGTTGACGAACGTCTCAAGTCATTTTCTTTTCGTGTGGAGTTCAGACTCTAATGTAAAGTTTATTTTTACACATTGGATGTCAGGTAATGGAATAATCAAAAAGAACATTTTTTAAGCAAGGTAGACTGAAAATCGTCGACACACGTCGTCACGCATTGATGCATTCAATATACCTATACTCACGGGACATCATAGAAGTGAGATTTTTTGCTGGGACAACTACATGTCCGCTTTAATCTGGATACAAAAAAATATTTCGTTTAATGTCGGTGGAAGACGCGCTACGCAGTATTGTTTGACATACATACAAAACAATGTTTATAATAATATAAATATAATTACAACTGTTAAGTCATTTTAGACACCTTGTCTACTGTTTAATAATACTATAACTAGATTAACATATTACCACCACCTATTAATGTCTTATTTTATTTTTCTTGCGTTTCAGAGCTCGTAGAATACGAAAATGGCGCGTCTGATTTTATTGGACGTCACACATTTCCCTCCAAAAAATGCATGACGTCATGTTGCAATTACGAATTTAAAATTTAAATAATTTCGCGCGAAAAGTTGAGGACTGCTGGTTTAAACCATGTAACGATGGAACTGGAAAATCAGTTTTTTTCGTATTTTAAAGCAAAGGCCACGTCAAATAAAGCCACATTTGTTTGAACTCTTAGATCTCTACAAACATTCGCATATGCTGTAATTGCCTTTCTTATTCTCACTTGTATTTGTCACAGCAGCCATTCCTCTTTAGAACAAAGGAAGTGTGGTGAGATTTGGCACTCGCTTACCGAAAAGTGCTAACTTAAAAAAAATACATACATATATGTATATAGTTGAAATAAATTTTTACTATAAACATTTTTAATGACAAAAGGTTTTCAGAAAATGCTGCAGGGTCATCTTCAGACTCGTTGTTAGTTTTCCTTTTCATATGTACTGTCATATTTGTTCACACTAATTGCACCATTAGTTCTCCTAGTTAATTGTTCTGTTGGCAATTCTGTCACCTCTAGTAAAATTTCAAAGCCATCTTTTATAATCACTAAAATATGGTCATTACAAGAAGCTAAATAACGCATTTTTGTTTGAATGATAATAAAAAGTGTTGTTTTCTTCGTACATTTGGTTTGTTGTTATTAAATGTAAAATAAATATAACTCCACCAATATTTCACGGGGTTATAAACTGAAAATAAAAAGTCAAATTTTCTATGTACCTACGTATGAAAATTGTTCATTTGCAATTAATAGCTTTAAGCAATTGATGAACTTTAAATTTCAGACCATACATTCATCTACCCTCCAGCCATGGTCCCCTTCTCTTTGCCTCCAACAGTTCCCCTTTCTGCCTCATTTCTTCCCCCTCTCTGTATCTTTAACTCCACCTCGCCTGTCTATTCCCAGAATGCTCCACCCACCATGTTTCTGATTTTGTTAATATTTTTTTCATATGTCGTAAGGAACAAGTCAATACATAACTTTAGTTACATTAGTTGGTTTAACATTACACCTGTCAAATAAATGGAAACTAAACAGAAATTCGAAAATAAACCTATTTGTGTCAGCTAAAATTTATTAGTATTTTAAACGAAAACCAAGCTTTATTTTAACCCTTAAATTGCACTGGCGAACGAAAAAAAACACAAGGCGTTATTTTAATGAAAGTTTTTGGCTGTTAGAACTAGCAAATTGTCGTTACATTAAAATCATTCATTTCTTAATTAATCTGTGTGAAAAAATTGGTAGGGTAAAGGTGTTTTTGGAAAATTACATTACAATCTACTTGGGCGCGGCAAAATTTAAACTGACATTTGACAAATCTGAAGAAAACTGAGAATTTAAGAAAAGAGCAATTACGTGAACACTAACTTTTAGTACGTTTAGAGATTCTTTCGTTGTTTTAGACATAAATGAATTATTAAACACGTTTTATAGTTATATTTTTTAGGTTATGACATGTCTATATTTCAGGTGACGTCATCAGTTTTTAAAAGAGATGAACTAACTTGAAAATGCCGTAGTTACCGTTTGAAAGTGAAACAATAAGGTCTAAATTGCCTGCATAAAAAATAGTTTGTGATTAATAAGTCATCTCAGTTGAGAAGTTGTTTGAAGAAAGAAGACTTAACAAAAGTCGTTGCCGTTTGCCGTTCAATAATTTAGTTTCTGCACATCATGTAATCATTTAGGAGTTGTCTTCGTTACGAGAAGTTACACTAGAAAGTACAAACTTATTTCTTTTCTCTTTCTTAATTCCACTTAACTCCTAACAGAATTTACCTCGATTTTTTTAACTTTATTTTTCTTTCACCTCCTCATCCGTTTCTCCTAGTCACACGGGAGTCATCCCCTGCTAAGCGACCCCATTGTTTGAATAAGTATGATAATTATCTGCGAATTAGGTGTGGAAGATGACGCAAAACGAGGGAGTTGATAACTTTAAGCGTGTATTTGAAAATTTAAAATTGTCGGCTGTTTAATTTTCACTTTAAATTAAAAACTAATGTCATTAGGAACATTATA